AGAGCTGCTGGGATTACAGGTGTGCGCACCACTGTGCCTGGCCCTGACTCAACTTTGATAGGTTGCATTTTTCTAGAAATTTATCCACTTTCCTCTGTTATCAAATTTATTGCTGTAAAATTGTTCACTAGTCTTTCATGATCCTTTTTATTTGAGGTGTCACGTTTCCAGTTTTGTTCCTTACCTTACATATTTGAGTCTTTTCTTAGTCCAGCTAAAAGTCTATCAACTCTATTTTTTCAAAAACCAGCTTAGTTTTATTAATTTCCAATGTTGTTTTTTTATTCTCTATTTCTATTCTGATATTTATTATTTCCTTCGTTCTGCTAAACTTGAGTTTGTTTCTCTTTTTCTCACTCCTTGAGGTGTAATGTTAGGTTAATTAATTGGGATCTTTCATATTTTTTAATGTAGGCATTTATTGCAATAAAATTTTCCATTAGAACTGCTTTTGCTGCATCCTATAGATTTTAGTATGTTGTGTTTCCATTTTCTTTTGAAGATACTATTAATTTTTCTTTTATTTTCTTCTTTGATCCATAGTTATTCAGGAGCATTTTAAYTTCTACATATTTGTGAATTTTCCAAAATTCTTCCTATTTTTGATATCTAATTTCATTCTAGTGTGGTAAAGACAAATCCTCTGAGAAGGAAATGAGGAAAACTACCCATTCACAATAACCGCAAAAAAAAAAAAAAAAAAAGCCACTTGGGAATAAACTTATCGAAAGAGGTAAAAGATCTATACGATGAAAACTACAGAACCCTAAAGAGAGAAATCAAAGAAGACCTTAGAAGATGGAAAGATCTACCTTGCTCTTGGATAGGCAGAATTAATATTATCAAAATTACCATACCTCCAAAAGCACTATATAAATTTAATGCAATTCCAATCAAAATTCCAATGATATTCCTCATAGAAATAAAAAAAAAAGCAATCATGAAATTCATCTGGAAAAATAAGAGACCCAGAATAGCTAAAGCAATCCTTAGCAGGAAGAGTGAAGCAGGTGGCATCATTACACCAGACCTTAAATTATACTACAGAGCAATAGTAACAAAAACAGCATGGTATTGGCACCAAAACAGGCTGGTAGACCAATGGTACAGAATAGAGGACACAGAGACTAACCCACAAAACTACAATTATCTTATATTAGACAAAGGTGCCAAAAACATGAACTGGAGAAAAGATAGCCTCTTCAACAAATGGTGTTGGGAAAACTGAAAATCCATATGTAACAAAATGAAATTAAATTCCTATCTCTCACCATGCACAAAACTTAACTCAAAATGGATCAAGGACCTAGAAATCTGCATCTAATAGAAGAAAAAGTAGGCCCTAATCTTCAYCATGTAGGATTATGCCCCAACTTCCTTAATAAGACTCCTATAGCGCAAGAATTAAAATCAAGAATCAATAAGTGGGATGAAATCAAACTAAAAAGTTTTCTCTCAGCAAAAGAAACCATCTGTGAGATGAATACAGAGCCTACATCTTGGGAGCAAATTTTTATCCCTCACACATCACATAGAGCACTAATCACTAGGGTATATAAAGAACTCAAAAAGCTAAGCACCAAAAATAAACCAAATAAYCCAATCAACAAATGGGCCAAGGACTTGAACCGATACTTCTCAGAAGATGATATACAATCAATCAACAAATATATGAAAAAATGCTCATCATCTCTAGCAATCAGAGAAATGCAAATCAAAACTACTCAAAGATATCATCTCACTCCAGTCGGAATGGCAGCTATTATGAAGACAAACAACAACAACTGTTGGTGAGGATGTGGGGTGGGACTGCAAATTGGTGCAGCCAATATGGAAAGCAGTATGGAGATTCCTTGGAAATCTGGGAATGGAACCACCACCATTTGACCCAGCTATCTCTCTCCTTGGTGTATACCCAAAGGACTTTAAAACAGCATACTACAGGGACACAGCCACATCAAAATTTATTGCAGCACAATTCACAATAGCTAAACCTTGGAGCCAACCTAGATGCCCTTCAGTGGATGAATGGGTAAAAATAATGTGGCATATATACACAATGGAATTTTACTCAGCAATAAAAGAGAATAAAATCATGGCATTTTCAGGTAAATGGATGGTGTTGGAGAAGATAATGCTAAGTGAAGTTAGCCAATCCCCAAAAAACAAATGCCGAATGTTTTCTCCATATGAGGAGGCTGACTCATAGTGGGGTAGGGAGGGGGAGCATGAGAGGATTAGATGAATTCTAGTTAGGGAAGAGGAGTGAGAGGGAAAGGGAGAGGGTAGGGGATTATCAAGGATGGTGGAATGTGATGGACATCATTATCCAAAGTACATGTATGAAGACATGAATTGTGTGTCAACCTACTTTACATACAAATAGAGACATGAAAAATTATGGTATACATGTGTAATAAGAACTGTAATGCAAAAAAAGTACATGTATAAAAATATAAATTGGCGTGAACATACTTTATATACAAAGATATGCAAAATTTTACTCTATATGTGTAATAAGAATTGTAATGCATTCCGCTGTCGTGTATTTAAAAAAATAAAACAAAACATGCTATATGAGTTGAGGATGTCTCAATGGAAGAGCAATTGCTCAGCATGTACAAAGCCCCGGGTTCAAATCCCAGCACTTCCCCCACTAAAAAACAAAACAAAACAAAAATGAAACTCTTGATTTTAATTTGTCAAGACTTGTTTTGTGGCCTACAATATAGTCCATGTATCTTGGAGAATGTTCCATGTACACTAGAGAAGAATGTGTATTCTGCTGTTGTTGAATGGAAGGTTCTGTATGTATTTGGTCCATTTTATCTAAAGTGCTATCAATTTCTGCTGATATGCATTAGTATTGACTTAATGTATCTGGGTTCTCCAATGTTATATGCATATATATTTATAACTGTTATGTCTTCTTGATGAGTCCTTTATCGTTAAGTAATGACCTTCGTTTTTTGTGATAGTTTCTGACTTAAAGAGAAATGTAATTTGATCTACATATAGTTACCCTTTCTCTCTTTTGTTACCATTTGCATAGAGTGTCTTCTTCTGTTCCTTCACTTTTGGTCTATATGTGTCAGTAAAAGCTTTCTAAGGTGAAGAAACCCAATAGCGGAAATCAGGCCAGCAAATACACTCTTTCTCCAATGGAGAGTGGGAAACGACACTCACTTTCTTTGAACAAATTGCCAAACAATACCTGAAAAATCTAAAACCGAATGATAAGCCTAAACCCATTACTTCTTCCACTCCTAAAAATAAAACCTTACTCCCTAGTGGCACATATCTGTAATCACAGCTATTTAGATGGCCGAGCAGGAGTATTGCAAATTCAAGGCCAGCAAGACAACTTAGTAAGATCCTATCAGGATCTGGGAATGTAGCATAGTCGGACACTTGCCTCAGACACACAAGGTACTGAGTTCAGTCTCCAGCATTGCAAAGCACAAACAAACTAAAAATCTTGTTTCTCTTGCCGTACTTGTGTCAATTAGTGGGCCACAGTCTAGTCAGCACTCAAGCCAGAAACCCAGAGTTATACTCATTTTTTTTTCTCTCAGAGGTAGGCTACCGCTGGACAATGATCAAATACCTCATGCACTTCTACCTCTGAAGCTTTCATAAAAATACAATATAAACAGGGCACAGTTGCACACTCCTATAATCCCAGATACCTGGGAGGCTGAGGCAACAGGATCACAAGTTTGAGGCCAGTCTTGGCAACTTAGATCCTGTCTCAAATTTTTAAAAAATAAGAAATGTTGAAGATGTACCTTGCTGGTACTAGATTCAATCCCGAGTAAAACACACACACACACACACACACACACACACACACACACACACAAATTTAGATATAATTTCCACTGCTTTTAAGGACAACATTGGGGACATTTTATCTGATGTACTAAACATTGTTAGATAGTTGCTTAGAAGATAATTTAAAAATTACCAATGGGCTGGGGATGTAGCTCAGTTAGTAGAGTGCTTGCTTGCATGTACAAGGTCCTGGGTTCAATCCCTAGCACACACACACACAAAAGATTACGGAGTACTCTAAACTAGAAAATATTCTATAAAAGATTAAAATAAGAAACTGAAAGAAAAAAAACATCTAGCCTGGGATTATAAAATTAAAAGCACAGGAAATTAGTGATCCTAATAACTAAAAAGCTTAGGTTTTAATGCATTCATGTGGAAATAATGGGAAAAGAATCAAATAGAACATTGAGAAAATACAGCCATTCACATTAAGAACTTGATGAATGAGTTGAACATCAGATTGGAAATAGCTGAAGAGAAATGTAGTAAACTGGAAGATCTGCAATGAAGAGGTATCGCAGAGAAAAAGGCAGTTCTTTTCTTTAAATGTGGATAACTACAGACCTCATTAGATGAGTGTGGGGATTAAGTGAGATCATGTATATAAGGTGTTAACAAATTGGCAGAGTAAGCACTCTTTTTTTTTTTTTTTTAAATTTATGGGCACTCAACCACTAGAGCCACATACCCCCCATCACAATTTTGTATTTTATTTGCAGACAGGGTCTCACTGAGTTGCTAAGTGCCTCACCTTTGCTGAAGCTGGCTTTGAAAACTGTCAACTACTACTACTTTTATTGTCCTAAGGAGATCTGAAGGTCCCTGGACTTCTCTATGCCTCATTGTGCTCAGCTGTAGGATTGGGATAGCAGTACCCTGCCTATCTACCACAGTTCTTATGTACATTCTATTAGAGCCTGTATTTTGTAGGTGAGAAAAGTGAGACTTATATAAATGGAATTGCAACTCTTGTCCATGGTTACCAAGTCAACAGTGAATTAGGATTTCATACAAATAAACTTTCCAAAGCCTTATCTCTGAAACACATCCTCCTGTAATTACACCCTTCAACCTGAAATCTACATTTGAAATTTCTAAGTCTGATTTGTGATTATTTAAAATTTACTATTAAATTTAAGAACGTTCCATTCTTTATTCCTTACCTGTTGGGAAGGTAACTGGAGACTGCACAGCCTTTCTTAGTGCCTCTTTGGCTCCACCAGCTCTTTTCTCTATGGGGAAATTGGCAGCTCCTATAAAATCAGACACAATTTTTGCAGTTTAATAAGAATATGATTTTTCACACATCATAGTCTTAAGTTCTTTGAGGATAGAAACCTTCTGGAAGTTCTGATTCTGTTCAACAAGCCTTGCTTATAGTAGGTGCCCAATCAATATTGGTTGATCCAGGGGCTGGGGATGTGGCTCAAGCGGTAACTGCGGCCCGGCATGTGTGCGGCCGGGTTTGATCCTCAGCACCACATACAAACAACGATGTTGTGTCCGCCGAAAACTAAAAAATAAATATTAAAATTCTCTCTCTCTCTCTCTCTCTCTCTCTAAAGAAAAAAATGTTTAAAAAAATATTGGTTGATCTGAACCAAGAAAGCAAAGTAAAGGTATGTCAAGCATTGGGGTTGTGGCTCAGTGGTAGACACCTGCCTAGTATGTGTGAGGCACTGGATTCGTTCTTCAGTACCACATAAAAATAAATAAATAAATAAAGTTATTGTGTCTATCTACAACCAAAAAAACCCATATATTCATATATATGTGAATATATATGTATATATGAATGAGAGTTATTTTTTTAAAAAGTAAGATAAAAGAAGAGGGGAAACTGAACTTTGGGACTTGATATCCAAGAGCACAACTATGATCATTTTTCAAATGGCAAATGTGTTTCAATGACATCTCTAGCAACTGGAAAATCCAAGAGCACAATAGCCTACTAGCAGTAAACACTCAGATAAAATGTCAAGTTAAGGGGCTGGGGTTGTGGCACAGTGGTAGAGTGCTTGCCTAGCAAGTGCAAGGTCCTGGGTTCAATCCCCCGCACAACATAAAAATAAATAAATAAAACAAAGGTATTGTGTCTAACCGCAACTAAAAAATAAATATTTAAATAAGTGTCAAGTTAAAATTTAGCAAGAGAATAATTAAGATTTCTTAAACTCAAAGATTAATAGTAACCATTTGCCAAACATTACTTATAATCCTCAATGACTCTCAAGTAGGTTTCATTCATTCATTCATTCATTCATTCATTCATTCATAGATGGGGTTGGCCTTGAACTCCCCGACTCAAGTGATCCTCCTGCCCCAGTCTCCCACACACTGGAACTACAGGCATACAATATGGCATCAAATGACATAGGTTTGAAAACAATTTTTTTTTCRTGTTACTAGAGATTGAACCTAGGGGAGCTTTACCACTGAGCCATATCCTCAGCTCTTTTCATTTTTTATTTTAAGACAGGGTCTCGCTAAGTTGCCATGTCAAGTTGGTGAATATGGCCTCAAAATTTTGATCCTCCTGCCTCAGCCTCCCAAATTGCTGAGACTACAACTGGTGTGCACCATGACACCTGGTTAAATGAGGTAGATTTCAAAGAGAGCATCTGAGGATATAAAATAGGCAGCAGAACTGGGAAATGAATCTAGGTCTTGATTCTAAAACCTAGAACTTCATTAAAGTGACAGTTAAGCTGGGATAATAGTTGGGCACATGGTAGTACTGTTGACTCTGTATAAATGCTATGGTACCCTCAATTAATATCTTTGAACATAATTTATTTACATTTAGCTATTTTTAGGTCAATCAAAGCTAAATAGCCATTTTTCATTTGGCCAATTATCCAAGTATTTCATTTGTTCCATGTAAGGGGTAGTACAAAGAGGAGGAAGAGAGTGTTACTATACTCTAGCATGGTTCACAACATTTTATAAGAAACTATAGGGTAAGACTTATTGTACCTCTTCCAGAGGGGCATAAACATGTTATTAAGGATTCAGAGACAGAAAAATAACTATTTTAGCCACCATTTACCACTAATCTTCACAGCAAACATGCAAGTTAAATATCAGCTTCAATTCAGAAATAATAATGCAGAATTTAAACAGAATATATCAGATTGGAAGAACTAAACAAGAGTAAGGATGCTTTTAAGACACAGAAGTGAGACACTATGAGTGTGAAAGTATAAGGGAGAATTTCAAATAAGGAATGTGAGTTCAAAAGCATAGCAGGTGGCTGGAAAATGAACATAGATTATATAAGGAAAGGAGTCAGGAATACTTGGAAGATGGCCTGAGGCCAGGAAGGGTCTATACATATCTCTGAGCTTGTAGCAGATCACCTCACCTGGTATATTCAGCAAGAGCAGGTGGACCAAAAATTGGCTGAGGCCACACTACACAGTCAAGAGTGCAAGGTGGGAGCTGAGGATATAGCTCACTTGGCAGAGCGCTTGCCTTGCATGCACAGGCCCTGGGTTCAATCCCCAGCACCATCAAAAAAAAAAAAAGTGCAAGGTAATAATGAAGAATTTTCATGGGGCAGATATGAGAGGAAGACACATTTCCATGTATTCCAAGACTTCCCCCAGATATTAAAAAATCATAGTAACTATAGAAAACATTCCACTGCTGTCGTGTGTTTAAAAAAATAAAATCAATGACAGATAAAAAAAATAATAATGATAAATAAAGGCTGGGATGTATAAAAAAAAAAGTGTCTGTTTCAGGACTAAGGTTGTGGCTCAGTGGTAGAGCGCTCGACTAGCTCATGCAAGGCCCTGGGTTCAATCCTCAGCACCACATAAAAATAAATAAATAAAATGAATGTATTGTGTCCAACTACAACTATAAAATAAATATTTAAAAAAGAAATGTCTGTTTCATTCATTTGCTCATTTATTAATTGGTGTGTGTGTGTGTGTGTGTGTGTGTGAACTTCTTTGAGTTCTTTACATATTGTGGATATTAATCCCGTGTCAAAAGAATAGCTAGCAAAGATTTTTCTCCCATCCTGTGGGTTCTCTCTTCACATTCTTGTTTCCTTTGATATGCAGAGGCCTTTTAATTTGATGTCTTCCCATTTATTAACTCTTGGTATTATTTCCTTTAGGAATCCTATTGAGAAAGTCATTGCCTGTGCCTACATGTTGGAATGTTGACCTTATGTTTCTTCAAGGATTTTTGTGATTGATTTTTGTGTGAAGAAGGTCATTGGYATTTTGATGCGGATTATACTGAATCTGTACATTGTTTTTGGTAGTATAGCCATTTTAACAATGTTAATTCTGCCTATCCATGAATATGGGAGGTCTTTTCATCATTTTTTGTCTTCCTCATTTTCATTCTTCAATGTTTCTATAGTTTTTATTGCCCAGACCTTTCACCTCCTTGTGAAARGAGATTTATTCTTCAGTATTTTTTTCTTTTTCTTTTTTGAATGGTATTATTTTCCTGATTTCTTTCTCAGCAGATTAATTATCGGTATAATGAAAATCTAATGATTTTTGGGTCTTTTCACATTTTTTATTGGAGTCCTATAGTTGTACATAATGATGGGGGAAAGCTATTGATTTTTGTATGCTGATTTTCTAATCTGCTACTTTACTAAATTTGTTTATTAACTCTAATAGTCTACTAATGGGGCTTTTTGGAACTTCTAAATACATAATCATATCATGTACAGTGAAAATTTGACTTCTTCCTTTCCTATTTTTATCCCTTATTTCCTTCTCTTGCCTACTGCTCTGGCTAGAACTTCTACTACTATATTAAATAAGAGTGGTGGGAGTAGACAACCACACATCCTTGTCTTGTTCTGGATTTTAAAGGAAATGCTTTTAGTTTTTCCCCATTCACTCTGATGTTGGCTTTCGACTTGTTATATATAGCCTTGGTGATATTGAAGTAGATTCCTTCTATCTCCACTTTCATCAGTGTTTTTATCGTGAATGCATGCTGAATTTTGACAAAAGCTTCCTCTGCATCTACTGAGATGACTAAGTGATTTTTGTCCTTAATTCTATTCTGTGATGAATTACATTTATTGATTTGTGTATGTTAAACCATGCTTACTGTTAGGTCGGTGACAGTGACTTGGTGGCGACTTAGTGGCAACTTAGAACAAAGCAGCCCTCACTGGAAAAGAACATCAATCAGATGCCGGAGGAAACGCCTGTCAATCAGCCAGATCTCCTGACTAACACCTGTCAATCAGCAGGACCTCCTGGCCAATCCTGGAGTTCAGCCAACTCCCCTGACCAACTCCAAGGGGGCAAGGGACTCCAAGAACACCTTTTCCTGTCCCAAGTCCTTCCCTTTCTGCTGTAAGCCCCATAAAAGTCCAGTCCGGTCGAGCTTCCATGCTGTTTCTCCTCAGACCCTCCTCCTGTCCCTTCTGTGGGTCTGATCCAGTTCTGCCCGGGAATGATGTCTCAATAAAGCCTGTTCAGCAGCCCTTTTAAATCACTCCCCGGGCAGTGAGGGCTGCTTTGTTCTAAGTTGCCACTAAGTGGCCACCAAGTCGCTGCCACTGACCTAACACATCCCTGGAAAGGAACCAACTTGGCAATGTTGAATACAATTTGCTAACATTTTATTAAGATTTATGCATCTAGGGGCTGTGGCTCTGGCTCAGTGGTAGAGTGCATGCCTCAAATGTTGAGGCACTGGGTTCAATTCTCAGCACCATATAAAAATAAATGAATAAAATAAAGGTCCATCAACAACTAAACAAATATTTTTTTAAAAGATTTTTGCATCTATGTTCATCAGGGATACCAGTTTCCTTTTCTTGATGTGTTCTTATTGGTTTGAGTATGAGTTTGACACTGGCTTCATATAATGAATTTGGAACTGTTCCATCCCTTTCTATTTCATGGAATAATTTGAGAAGCACTACCTATCCATGAATATGGGAGGTCTTTTCATCATCTTGATGTTAGTTTTTATTTAATTGTCTGGTAGAATTCAGCTGAGAATACATCTGGTCCTGGGTTTTTCTTTGTTGAAAGGCTTTTTATTACTGCTTCTATCACATTGCTAGTTACTGGTTGGTTTAGATTTTCTATGTTCTCTTGATTCAATTTTGGCAGGTCTCCTGTGTAGAAATGTATTCATATCTTTTAAGTCTTTCAATTTATTGGAGTATAAATTTTCAAAGTATTCCCTTAGTGATCTTTGGATACCTGTGATGTCTGGTGATTTCTACTTTTTAATTTCTAATTTTATTAATTTGGGTCTTCTCTCTCTCTTTTTTTTTTTTTTGGTTATTTTGGCTAAGGGCTTATCAATCTTGTTTATCTCTTCAAAGAACCAACTCTCCATTTCATTGATCCTTTGAATGTTTTTATTGTTAATTTCACTGATTTTTACTTAATTATTTTTACTTAATTATTTCCTTCTTTCTATTGTCTTGGCTTGTTCTTTTTCACGAACCTTAAGATATACCACTCGGTTATTTATGATCTTTCTGATTTTCCTATGTAGCCACTCATATTTGTAAACTGATTTCTTAGAACTGCCTTCATAGTGTCCAGAGGTTCTGGTATATTGCATAACTATTACTGCTTCGTTATAGGAACTTTTATATATGTGTAATAAGAATTGTATGCATTTCACTGCTGTTGTATATTTAAAAAAAATAAAATCAATAAAAGATTAAAAAAAAGAATTTTTAAATTTGTTCCCTGGTATGAAATAAAATTAAAAAATAGAAGAACAGTATTTTCTATCTTGAAATTTTAGTTTAAAACGAACAGTGTGTTTTCTTACTATAATTCAATCAAAAGCAAGAGATACCAGGCACAGTGGAACATACCTTTAGTTCAACTCACTCAAGAGGCTGAGGCAAGAGGATCACAAATTTGAGGCCTGCCTCAGCAACTTAATGAGACCTTGTCTCAAAATAAAAAGGGGGTAGGGATGTAGCTCAGTAGCAAAGCACCCCCGGTTTAATTCCAACTTACCCTCCTCCAAAAAAAAGCAGGAGTTAACCAAAGATTTTTATCAAAAGGATTAGAATTTGTGGTATTTCAATTTTCTGAGAGAAGGCAGCATATAGAGATGTAGTTTCTAAGTGTATAAACCCTAGACCCAGTTTGGGATTAAATACTGGCTCTACTACTTCCTAGCTTGTTATTTAAGCATCCTCTACCTTGGTTTTCTCATCTTTAAAATGGGAACATAATAGTACCTATGTCACAGGGTTGTAATTAGAGCATAAAAAGAACCTGGAATATAATTTAGTTATTAAACATTTTCAGTTGTACACATTTGTACCATATGTTAACTATCAGCATATCCTTTTAATATGTAATCATTCTACAAATAAGTATGTTTTACTTTAGGAATCAAAACCCAATTCAAATATGGTAAAATTAACTAAGGAAAGGTTAGCAATGAATAACAGGTATATCTTCAAATATGGGAAAGGATGCCCAAAGGTAAAAATATACTATTTCAATGTGAGCTTCTTTTCATTCCTCTTCTAAGACATGGCCATTCTATAACTACCAAAGCTTGAGTTGAACAAATGTCTATTTTAGTCAGAGATACAAATAAAAGACTCCCAAAAAAACTACCTCTAATCCACTGACTGTTCAAATTATATTATGAAAAGGCCACTAGTTTAAAAAGATTTATAGGGCCTTCCCATTTCAAAGCAACAGAACAAAATCCTGGTACAGCTAAGTCTTTATCTATCCCTTGCATTCTGTTGATATCAGCATTCTTTGTTACTAAGATTTATAGCTTTTACAGATGAAAACACAACTGTGGAAACAAGAAGGAAAAATAGGTCCAAAGTACACAAAATTAAAAAAGCTTTAAGTCTTACCACATCGCCAATGTGAATCTTGAGATGGTTCAAGTGTTTTCCCTTTATGGGTATGACTTGATTTTGAAATACATTTGACTTTTCCAGGTTGATTTATCAGAAAATTATGTCCATGGTGATACTCTCTACAACAGAAATTACACAGTAACTATTACCCCTAATATCTCATATAAGTGACATTTTTTAATATCTCAAAAATCCCAAATTATAGCCCAGATTAATACATGCACTTGACACTCCTTTTTTTTTGTACCTCAGTGTTATTTTAAGATTAAAAAAATTAGTTGTAGATGGACACAATACCTTAATTTTTATGTGGTGCTGAGGATTGAACCAAATGCTTCACACTTGCTAGGCAAGCACTCTACCACTGAGCTACAACCCCAGATCCTCAGGATTACATGATGACTCTCAAGAAATTATCTGTTTTATGTCATACCTCAAACCTTGTTCATTTGTTTCAAAGAGATTATTTTTAGTTCTCTCTCTACCCATTTTAAATTCTCCATATATTTACCAGTTACTTAGTATTTGATCCCCTACTTTATTCTAGAAAAGACACAAGGGGAATATTTGGCATTTTAAATAAACTCCAAAATACAAATGCAAATGATCTGATTATGTTTGGGTCTGTGTTGGTAGCACTTCCTGTAGGCTCTTATTAATGTTCATAATTCTAATTACATAATTTGTCAAATATGGTATCTTTTTACTACCAGGTGATTTATTGCTATAAGTAACTAAACAAGAAAGAGAAGAGATAGGCTGTTGTTTCAGTCAAGACAGTTGGCATTCTCTCTCCAGGGTCTGCCAGATGTGTCTACTCAAAGCCTTAACAATTCTTTCTGAACAGTATAAACATGAGACCCAGCATACCTGGGTAACAACTGGGCCAATTATACACTGATTAAAATAGCACATAATGAGGGCACCCAACCAGGCAGGATGCCCTGAACTGACAGAAGTAACATGTATTCATAGGATGTGTTGAATACAAAACCTTAAAAAAAATTTTTTTTTACATTAATACTAACACAGAACACTTTTAAACGTTCTTCAAGAATAGGTGCACAAAGAATTACCTCTTTATTTCCGAATTCCCAGCACCTAGGACTGTTTTGAGAAAAGCCAGGAGGTTGAGCACCTCCCCTTCCCAATGATGTCACTTTCTTTGCCAGAGCAGCAAGGTCTAGCTGGAGAAGAGAACCCACAGGGCTCSAGGGGGTGGTTAAAAGTCACCAGGCAGCTGCTGTGCAAAGCAGCAGGGGATGGACGCTGCCCTGGCAGGGTGGGAAGGGAACAGCAACTTTGGTTGGACCCAGGGATCCATGGATTTGACCCCAATGTGCCCTGGTGGTCCTGTGGGATTGTCCTAGGCACTGGATGGTCCAGACCATCCCGGAGGAAGAGTGGTGGAGCCAGGGCTGGGCCTCCAACCCTGGGGTCTAAAGGAAGTAACCTCACCCAGCATTATAACACAGGGTCATTCCGCTGCCTTCCAATCAGATGTGCAGAAACCAACACTGTCAGAGATGGGTCCTGGGAGAGGCTGGTGAGTTCACAAGGAAAGGTCAAGCCAAGCCAAAGGGTGGCACACAATACTAGGGCAAACCAGCTGCTGGCAAGATGCCTAGGGTTTGCCAGTTCAACTAGCTTTATTGCAAACTGCCGAGACTCAGTTTTCTTCTGCTGGAGCAGGCTTTCCAACAACTTCCTCTGCACCCCCATTCCCAGCATCCTCTCCAGGCCTGGAGTGCTGAGGGCCACTGGGCCCCTGGCAAAGCTGACAGGACCATTCTGCACAGCCTCATACTCCACAGGACCCCACCCAGATAGCTGGCAGGGGCCATCTCTTCTTCCCTGACCTCTTGCATGGGGATGTTAACCTCCTTGGAGACCCCATCTTCCTGCTGCCTACCCAGCACACAATTTCCCACATCTCTGTCTTTGGAGAACTGGTCTTCTAAACTCTAATTTTCTTCTGTGTCTCTGACACCATGTTTACCTTTGGGTTTCCTCAGCTGTGCATTTCTTTTTAGGAGAATTGCCACTGAAACTTTAATTCCGTCTTCATTTTCTGAAGTAGATACGGTCTCTGAAGTAAGACAGTCGGCTTGGTAGATACGCTCCCTTCCCTGGTAGACTTGACAATGTGAGTTGGTAGCACACAGGTGAGCTGCCAGCCTTAGAATGCCCATGAGTTCAGCAGAGTCATGCAGTCAGTCTGAATCTCCATGCCTTCCAGGGCCATCCATTGTTTAACAACAATAGCATCAAAGCCCTGTCTGCTTTTGCTAACTTCTGTACAAACAGCTTCAAAGATGAATACTACATCAGTCAAGCTGTAGAAGGAATCATCCACCATTCCAAGGTGGAAGAGTAAATTCACCAGGACTCCTTTCTGGAAGTGGTCACTCATGTGCTCCAACCAGTTGGCATCCAAACTCATTCTTGGAGACCACAGAAAAGAATACTGATGGGATAGTATTGCCAGCACTTCTGATAGCTCTTCAGTTTGTTGAAAGGGCAAAAATCTCCATTTTCCTAGAGAGGAGCCTTGTATGTGTGTCCATCCACTGTTGGGCTCATCCCCTATGGGGAAAATCCTCCACCCTCTCCAGAGGATAAGCTGGGCTCCTTGGTGAAAGGCAGCTCCCCTGTGTGGCCTGGGCTGGGCTCTGGGTTCCCATTCACCCCTGTGGGAGCAACACACATGTCTGCAGCCCCTGGCTTCTCATCCTCAGTGATGCATGGTTTCCACATACCTTTATCACCACTCTGGCATCTGTTGCGCCATTGGCAGTGGGTGCAAGAGGGCTGCTGCCTGCTGAGTTCACAGGGTAGTGATACTGAGGAATGACACAGCAAACTCCAGGCCCCGACTTGCAGCCTCCTGGACCTTCATAATAAACTCTGGGATGATATTTTATCTGTCATATGGTCTAAGGAGGAACAGCAATCTAATTTGAAGATGTAACCTTCATTGTGAAGATGAGTTTTCTGAGATCTGTTAGTTTTCTTGACCGAGATTGGCCCTAAATGTGTGCTGGAGGGGCATCTTTTCCTACCTGTGAATGGGCTGCCCAAAGGGGTGCAGGGTGGCCAGGGAGAACCCCTGCTGGCACAGCTCCAGGAGCTGGGCTGGCAGGTCCCTCAAGGAGGCCAGCCTCACTGCTGAGGACCATGGGAGCTCCACAACATTCAGAGTTGTGAACTACAGGAGGCAGTACTCATAGGCCACATCCACCTTGTTTTCTACCTGAGGCCTCTTCAAAGTTGAATAAATATTCCCAGGCCATTCCTCGTAGCACTTCCCTAACTTGTTCAATCCACAGCCCATTTCAGCAGATTTTGCAACTGGCGGTGGAGAAGGCGCAGGCTGGGTTCCCTGAGACAGTGTGTTGTGTCCTGGGAGGAAAGCGGGTGGGTGGGGAGAGGGGGTGGCACTGCCTGCTCACGTATCAGTCCCTCAGGTTATTGGTGCATGTGTCCCTCCCCAAAGCCTAAGGCTTACGTGCTCCCGCTCACTAAAGGTGAGTGCTGTCAATTCATGTCCACCACATGGATTACCAACAGATACAACTTTGCATGTTTGTTAGCCATATACGAGAAATTTTACACTTGGGTACATTAGCACTTTCAATTAATTTCTGCTTAACGACTTATACCCAAACCTACTGTCTGTGATTAAGCTTGTGTAGCAAGCTGATGGGAGCTGGCTGTTCCTGCCAGAGTGAAGATGACAGGTAGAGAAACAGGGAGATAGCAATTAGGAGGCAAATTAGAGAAACAAATCTTAACAGAAACTAAAAAAAAAAAAAGAAGACAGTACTGGACAGATATGAAATGTCACACTTCAGGTATACTGAAGTGCTTTGTTACAGCTTAGTTAGAAACTGAATGCCATTTTTGCCTTTTTCCTTTGGTGATTCTATACATTTATAAAGACCTCATAATTAAGGAGCTATTTTGTTCTTTACTTTATCATCATAATTCTAAGCAGGGTAGATGCAAATACACTGAGCTTGATACTTTTTTTTTTTTTTACTAGGTGCAATGTTATTTTTCCAAATAATATGGTGAATTGTGTCTTACCTCCTTGGAGAAGGGCAGCACTGCTGTCCAGAATGCCAAGCAGTGCTGGGTTTGTTAGGAGATGGTTTCTGTGCAGTTACTGGCAGTTGTACTGATTCTGATAACAGTTCATTCATCAGACTGTATGCTTGTGTGATTCGCCGACTATAGTGGTCAGAGAGCAGCAACCTTTTAGATAAAGAATTAAACACCATTTATTTAAAAAGTCACTTTTAGATCTTATTTCCAGAAGGAACACAGTACTTTTGTTTTTCTTAGAACTTTTCAAATCCCTCTAATCATCAGATTTCTTAAAACCATTAGGAAGTAGAGTATATTATTAAAGATATTTGTAGTTATGGTCTTGAGGGTATTTCCCAAATACACATACATATCTGGTTTGGGAGAGAGAGTACAACAGAAATGAAAGTCATAAAAACTGTATGGTGCCAATAATATTTGAAAGCAAATTTCTAAAAAGGGTACTGAGTCTAATTATTTTCTTTACAATGATATCTCCCACAATTTTCTGTTTATTGACAAGAAGACAATTATGAAAATAAATTCCTAAGAATTATCTACCAGAAAATGCTCAGGATATAGCTTCCAAGCTTACCTATCTTTCTCATGCTTCATCTTTTGTCTCAGCCTGATTTCCTTTGAAGTCATGTAAAACTGCATAAGAAATATTCAGTTAATTCATTATTCTTCAGTCCAAAAAAACCATTAGACATAATTCTACTATTTAGAAAATAGTAMAAAATGAGGCCATATTTGATAAAACTTTCTATCCTAAAGCAAAACATAAAAATGTTAAATTAAAACATCATATAATTAAATGGAATGCGAAATGTATTTTACTAGTTATATTTTTTTGACAGAGGACATCCTACAGCTGCACTTAAGGTGGAAGAAAAGAACATTTTAGGGATATAGACACTTTAACTTCATCTTCAGTCTGGTGATTAATTTCACCAATAGCTTGGTTGAAAAAGCAGAAAGAGACACTCATTTAAAATCATTTTAATATTGTCAAATATTTATCAAAAGCCTACTGTAATGAGTTTGCTATAATTTATAAATTTTTCAAAATTATATGTCAGAAGGCAAACTGAGACAAATGTCAAATATATATATATTCCAGAACATGAAGAATTATTATTGTAAGACTAGGATGGAGCTCAGTGGGAGAGTGCTTGCTTTAACATGTGCAAGGTCCAAGGTTCGATCCCCAGCATGGAATAAGAATAAGAGGAAGAGGAAAAAGAAGAGAAAAATAAGACAAGTAAGTAAAATACATTCTTTAAATAATAGTTCACCTACTTTTACATCATATGGAGTTTAAATGGGGCAACCTTATCTGGAAAATAAACTTACATCATTTGTTAATAATGCTTTAAAAATGAAGTGCTATCATGTTTTATTTCAAATTGCAAAGGGATAAACTGTAATCTATAATCTAAATGTGATTTTCACAGTAATGTGGTTATCAAACACTACTTTTTTCTTGGTAGCAGGAATTGAACCCAATGGCATTTAACCACTGAGCCACATCCCCAGCCCTTTTTAATATTTTATTTAGAGACAGCGTCTCACTGAGTTGCTTAGGGTTGCGCTAAATTGTTTTGAACTTGTGATCCTCCTGTTTCAGCCTCCCAAGCTTCTGGGATCAAACTCTACTTTGTTTTACCTTCCAAAGAAAAACTATTCCTGACCTGAACATGGGGATGCCCGTATTTCAGGGCTCAGTAAATAAATGCTAACAGTTTAAAGGCATTTAAAACACACACACACACACACACACACACACACACACACACACACATGACTGCTCTGCTGGTACATGATTAGATCATAATTTTATTCTTTGCAGAAAACAAGTTTAAAAATGGCTTTAACACACATATAATCCATTATTTAACTGCTACTCACTCTCAATGAAAAAGATACACAATCACTCAACCTCATTTGTTTAAAATATTAAAGTCATAATTAATTTGAGGGAAAAAGAATATTTAATATAGATCAACAGAATATAGTTTGCACAATATCCTGCTATACTTTGCTAATGTAATTTCTCAACTTTTCCTGGCATAAGTAAAATGTTGACTTTTCATCCGCCCAATAAAAAAAGAATCTAAATTATGCTAATTTTTTTTAATATTTGCCAGAAAAAAATATAGACGTTGTATAATAATTCCATTACCCTTGATACTGCAGACTTACTGGATTGCTTCTGGCACAGAAGGGATCATGTTCTTGCCCTCTCTTTTCTGCCAGCTGATTTAAGTACTCTGCCATTCTTTCTTTTCGTTTTCTTTTCATCCAGGCTCGAATCTCTCTTCTCTCCTTCTCAGTTCTTTGTGGACATCTGCCAGAAGAATGCTGAATCCTGTGAAATTTAATGAGCAAGGCATCATTGGCTTTTAAATTTGTTGTGTAGGTAAGAACTACCACAACTTAATAGTATTCGTTTGAAAAGACATTGCCCTGTCTTGAAAGTAATGTACACTTATGGTCTCTAATCAACTTGTTCACAACTCCAGAGAAAATGGTCTCAGAAAGTTCACCAACAATTCTCTGAAACACTTGCTTTAAATGTTATATTTAAACAGCTTTTCCCTCTTTAAACTGTCTTACCTGGATCTTTTCTTACTCAAAACACTACATAGCCTCCTTTCATCTCTGCTCACCACTTCAATATTGATGCCTTAAAGGTTCTGTTTTGGACTTCCTTATCTACCATTCAGTTCCTGGACCATCTAAACCACTTCTTTTTTTTTGTACTTTCTAATTTTTTTCATTTGTTCTTTTTAGTTATACATGACAGTAGAATGAACTCTGGCAAATCAACCACTTCTAAAACCTACACACACAGGTAAGTTCCAAGCTGCTGCTTTTCTGGATCTACTCCCATCTTCAGGTCCATGCCACACATCTCACAATCTGGCTGAGTTAATGACTAAGTATGGCAGGAATGTACTGGCTGGTTCATTTCTGAAATATGGGTGACTCCACGGGTGACATGGCTTGAGGCCCTATCACTGATCTAGCTGAAATATTCTTAAAATGGCGCTGGCATTCTGAAACCCTATCTCCCTAATTCTCTTTCCTCTATCTTTCCTCACAAACATCTCCCAAAACAAATCTCTTACACATCAATCCCATCTTGGCTTCTGCTTCTTGGAGGATCTGAACTAACATAAGTTGTACTTTGGGTGGTCTGAGAAAACAGGGGATAGATGGTAGTGTGTGAAAAAGACACCATACTAGATGGAAGCTGGGTCACAGATACAGACAATGTGGTTTATTCTGAACATTTGCTTAACGAGTTTGGCTCTTGGGATGTGCCAGGAAGGATTCCCAATAAAATCCTAGGCACTGAGTCTAATCAATTGCTAGTAGACAACATCTCACATGTGTTGTCACAACCTGTTGCTTGAGGAATTATGTTATATCCTTTGTGACTCCACTGGGAGAGGATTCTGGGAAGCCTGTGCCTGGTTTTCCCTGGAATTTACCTAATGTACCTTTTCCCTTTGCTGACTTTGCTTTCAACCTTCTTGTTGAAAATTCATATTTTATATTTGTGGCCACAAACATGACTAAACACTGTGAGCTCTCCTAACAAAATGCTGACCCTCAGGGTGATCTTCAGAGCAGATCTACATCTGCACTGCAGTCTGATAGCTGGTCCCCACATTTCATGGCTCCCTTTTCTTTTCCTTCACAGGCATTTTCCAAACAAAGCTCTTCCTTATCTAAATCCCAGCTTGGCATCTGTCAGAGGACTTACAGTTGATATTAGCGAATGAATGTTATCCTGGAACTTTACATCTAAAACTACATTTTCCAATTTGCTAAAGAAATTATCATCAGTCATGTAAGAAAACCTATCATCCTTACCTCCTGACAGCCTCCAGTGTTTATCTACCCTGTGACCTACACTCTCCATTTCGATTCACCTCATCTCTGGCCTCTGGAAGTAAGTCATTCATCTGGCTCCCAGGTCTAGCTGATGATAACCTGCTGCTGAGCTCTGCTGCCAATAGTCAAGCCAGCTTAGTGCTTCTGTCCCCACACAAGCTAGTCCCACTCCCTTCCAATGAACAAACTCTAGCTACATCTGAGTCCTTGCCCTTTGTTGACCATATCTTTGCATATTTCTGTCTGTAATATCCTGTCTTACAGTTACCAGTCATTAGCAGAATACAATTTCTATTAATCCTGAGATACGAATCAAATTCCGAAACTGGTGACTCTGCTTTTTGACTGACCTTTTTTCCCTGAGCTCCCATAGCACACTGACAGAACTCGATCCTACATTTATATCCTTTCAAGAGTAGAAACCAAATATTATTTTTATATAATTTTAGAAAAAAAAAGAACTATTAGAGTTAACTAAATCCATTAGTTTAGGAAGTTAGGGTCTAACATGGTCTTGATATAAGGTAATAATATAGTAGATAAATTATGTAAACAAAAATAATCTTTTTTTTCTAAATAATTTTAATTTGGACAGAACACCTTTATTTATTCATCTTTATGTGGTGCTGAGAATGGAACCCAGGGCCTCACACATGCTAGGTGAGCGCTCTACCACTGAGCCACAAGCCCAGCCCTTCTTTCTTATTTTTTTATTTATTGTGCTGTTTTCTTTTAATAGTCTTGTAAGTTTGATGATAACACACTGTACTTTCACTGAAGTAATAAGTGGAATTATATCTAAAACAGATAAGGTTGACTGTTTTCTATGAAGCAACTTAGGGGTATAAAGGAAAATAAAGGTGAGCGAGCTTTTATTACATCCAGGAAGGGTTGCATGGAAAAGTATTTTAACCTAATGTTCTATAGAAAGGCTACTGCAAAAGTAACCTAAGGGTTAGTATTTGGATAAAATGCCATGAAGTAAACCATTAATTACTTTTAATAAGAAACAGCATTCATTCTATGTTGTACTTACAGTGATTAGACCTGAGAAAAACTCTCCAGAATATAGATGTGCTCTGTTAGTTAAGTACAAAGTACACTTTGGGGAACATGGAGGAATGGCATAGCATACATCACAAAAATTATTTAGGTGGAAAAACTCCTAAACTTCAAATTTGTTTAATAAAAATTACATTGAAATGTGGCAAACTATTTACATTCCTAAATCAGAAACATTTTGAATGGGTTAAAAAGTAATTCTTTAGTGGCTAAATGCCAGCTTAGCATGCCAGAACCCAGTGGTCCATTCGTAGCACCAAAACAACCACAAAAAGGACTCTTAGTGAGTCCAGATTACCTGGAGATACTCCTTGCTTGTTGTTCTGTTAAACCAAGCTCTTTACTGGAAACTCCGCCTCTAGTTATAAGATCATTGATAATGTCTGCAATGTCAGTCAATCCAGCCATCTGGAGTGGATCTACTGAAATACTTCAATTGCAAATGAAATTTGACAAACAGAAACATTTAAGCATTTACAAATTAATTACATTAGGAAAAAACAAATACAAAAAACTATGCCATTCAAGAGCATAAATAGACACAAAATGATACGTCTACTTTTCCTTCTATTTCTATAATTCTGGTGTCTCCCACAAACACCAACTCATCAACAACTGATGACTTTGTAGGTACTCTTAAAAAAACAACAACTTTAGGCCCAGGAGAAAACCTCTATGGGTCTTGTCTGTTCAAATTTAATACATACTGAGTAAAAGAAAATGTAGCAAATGTAGCCCATTGTATTGTAATTACCTGTGTTGAAACAGCAAGGGATGTAACAACATTTCTCAGTTTCTCAGAACATTCCATTCCCAATAGAAATTTATTATATTTCATTAAACTTCAAAAAGATGTATAATATATAAGTTCACATTCAAAGGCAACAAAATTTCCAGGACACATACTCATACTCAAATTTTAAGTAAAATAATGAACTACTTCTTAAAATATTTACCTTTCAAATAATTCATCACTGTTATTCACACCTTAAAAAAAAGGAAACATTAATAAAAGTTACACATATTGGAAAATATCTAATTTAAACCCAAGAAGATATTTACTTGGAAGAATAGGATCCAAAGAATGATTTTTAAGCCTTGCCCAATATAAACTAAGTATCTCTAATGCAAGACATTTAATCTATTTAACCTTCTACATGTTTAATCTGAAATATAATTAAGTTAATTAGGGAAAATGTTCTGACATCTCATCTCAAAAAAGTTTCCTTGTTAAGATTTTTTTAGAGCTCTTCGCAATGGCACACACCTGTAATCCCAGTGGCTCATGAGGCTGAGGCAAGATCTCGAGAGTTCAAAGCCAGCCTAGGAAATTTGCCAAGGCCTAAACTACTCAGTGAGACCCTGTCTCTAAATAAAATATAAAAAAGGTATAGGGATGTGGCTTCGTGGTTAGGTGCCTCTGGGTTCAATCCCTGGTTACCTGCCCCCTCCCACCCCCACACACCCCAAAAGATTTTATTAGACTAAGAGTAACTAAACTTCTCCTCAAACTTAGGCATCCACATGGGTTTTTTTGTTTGTGTGTTTGTTGTTTTTTTTTATGTGTGTATGGTGGGGTACTAGGGCCTGAACCCAAGGGTACTCTACCACTGAGCTTTATTTCCAGCCCTTTTTTATTTTTGAGACATGGTCTTCCTAAATTGTCCAGGCTGGTCTTGAACTTGTAATCTTCCTGCCTTAGTCTCCTCAGTCATGTTTGTTTGTTTGTTTTTGGGGTAGCTGTAGATGGACAGATGCCTTTATTTATTTTTATGCAGTGCTAAGGAATGAACCCAGTGCCTCACACACGCTAGGCAAGCACCCTGCCACTGAGTTATAGCCCTAGCCCATGAATCGTAATTTTAATATGAAAGAATTTTGCTTTCTTGAGCACATATTGTTCTATTTATTAATCTCCAATTCTTTTATCTTTGTTTTCAGGGTCTGGGCACTTGTGAGTTCTTAATAGTAATTCATTAAATTTAGCTAAGAGGAAAATACTTCCTATAAATGTAAAAGAAAAAGTTCCATTAAAGAAACATTCCCCCCCCCCCCCCCCCCCCCCCCCCCCCCCCCCCCCCCCCGCTGTACTGGGGACTGAACCCAAGGGCACTCTACCACTGAGCCTCATCCCCTTCCTTTTTTATTTTTTCCTTTGACACAGGGTCTCACTGAGGTTGACCTCAAACTTTGCGATCTCTTGCCTTGGCCTCCGGAGTCACTGGGATTACAGATAGGCACCATCACACCTAGCCAAGAGATACTTTCTATCGGTGTTTGAGTGGCCCCTGCAGATCTACTCATGAAGAGAGCTTGAAGGATTCCCTCCATCAACTGGCTGGATGAGGAAAGTGAGATCTTAGTCAAGACGGTAACCTCTCAGGTTAAAGGCTGAAGTTTTAGTTAACAAACATAGGTAACAAGTTACTCTTCCTTCCGTTAGTAGCCAGTGACCACAAGCTCTCAGCCACAGCAGCTACAAATTTGACAAACCTTGCCAAGCGGGGAGAGTTTAGTTCTCTGTAATCATTGCTGCAAAAAGAGAATACGCCTTTGCAGGACTCCAAAGCACTTTGGTAATGAGCACAACTTAACTGAACAGCCTCATGTTTAAAGATTAATTGTCTCACATCACAGAACTGAGGGCTGCTGATCCCTGACAACGATCATCCTCAAATGAGTTAAGAAAAATCAGTTATTGTGAAAGAAAAAAAGTATACAAGAGCAAAAAAGTATTATATTCAAATGAATACCTTTAAAAGTAACTACATATGGGTATTCTATCCTTACTTCATTTTCAAACCATTTTTGGAATTATTCCCAAAGTGATTGATTGATTTTACTGGTGATTTACTAAACAAAATCAACTTTATTCCTTGATAATTATAATTCTTTTTTTTAATTCCAAATGGACACACTCAGACTGATAACTTACTTCACTTACCACAAAGTACCTCTAAATATCTAATGGCTGTTACCAAAAATATTTGTTAGTAAAAATACTCAGAAGAATGTGCTAAGAAACGGAAGTTAGCTAGCTGCAAAAGAGGAAATCTATACTATTTTTTGATCAATAATGCCAGATGACAACTTTGGAGGAAATACCCATTAGGACATCTAAATTCTTTACTTTAATAGAGAAAAATATTTAATTTTTCCATCTTTATGTGGGTTGTATGGTAAATACTATGTCTTATTATTTATAGGACAAAATGTATTTGTTTGTTCTAAAAAATAACACTTTTAATTTAATTACAACCTCCAAATGAAATGGAGCAAAAAGTGGCACTAAATCTTTCTAAGCCTCAATATCCTAAACTATAAAATGGGGAGAATATAAATCTACTTCATAGGCTTAACTCAGGGTCCAAGCACACAAAATAGCAGTGTCTGGCACATGATAAGAGGCCCCAGAAATGACAAACACTATTTTGTTCTCAGTTAAAACTCAAGTTCTGACAACTGGCAGTTTGAATTTCTCGACTTTTGTAAAAACAACAGTAATTCCAGTTGTTATATATTTAGCATGAATACATTCACAGAAGTATAATACACAATTGAAGCATATCTTATGAAGTTCTTCATGTGAGTAGCACAAATTTTAACTTCCTTCTCCCGAAAATAAATATTACAAAATGACTTCACAAATCCTTCATGACTATATTCCCTGTATACAGTTCAGAAACATAATAGAAAATAAAAGTGTGTATAAATGAAAAAAGTGAAGAACATTACCAGGTGAAGGAGTATTCTGGTCACTGGAAAGACTGACAGCTGAATCAGCAGAAAGGAACACAGAAGTTTTCGGACTAGAATGATTTTCCATTACTGAAAATGCAGCTTCTGAAATCTCATCTTTGTCACTTCTATCTTCTTCATCYGTATGAGTCAGGAAATTCACTAATGCAGAATATGTGTTACAATTAAAATGGTAGGAGGAAACAAACACATGGAAAAAATATAACAATAACACTTTCAAAGGACAACACAAATATACTGGACATTTGCAATGTATTATTCAGATCACTTTCTACAGTATAATGAACTAATTTAATATGAAATCTAAAATGAGAATTTTCTCATATGAAGAATAATTACATTTAAGAAAGCATAGAAGCCACAATAAAGAAAAAGATAGATTCAAAAAAGAAATAGAAATTATAGATTTTAAAAATGAAGCGACAAGAATTAAAATCATAATGAATAGGTAAAAAAGCAATGATGACACAGCAGAGGAGAGAATTAGCAAACTAGAAGACAAATCTGAGGAAATCACCATGAGATGAAGAGGCAGAAATCATGAGAGTGCTTTAAAAATTAGGAAGAGAATGAGAAGGTCCAACATACCTGTATTTGTTTATTGGTGTATTATAATTATGCATAATAGTGGGATTCACTTTGTCATAACCATACATGTACATAACATAATTTGGTCAATCTTTTAACCTATTCCCTTCTCTTTTCCTCCCCATTTCCTGCCTGCTCTACTTTACTGATCTCCTTTCTACTATTATTTTGATTAGTATATTATAATATATATATAAGAGGGATTTACTGCAGCACATTAGTACATGGACATATGATAATTTGATAGATTACATTCCCCAGTATTCCCTCAAGCCCTCCCCTTCTCTCCCCCTCTCTATTGCCTTTCTATTCTCTGTTGGTCTCCATTATTCTAATAGTGTTTTTAGAAGACAGAGTAAAATAATGGGGTGGAAGCAATACCCCAAAGATAATGGATGAAAATTGAAGATAAATAAAATGAAATACACATCTAGACATGCTGTATCAAAAAAGCAAAATAAATAGAAATTTTAAAAGTGATCAGAGATAAATGAACAGCAGTTAGAATGACAGCACATAGGTAGTGTAAATTCAGCCATTAGGAATGTCAGTATATAATGGGATAATACCAAAAGGACTTAAAATAAGCATATTACAGTGCCAGCTCAATTCACAATAGCTAAACTATGGAAACAACCTAGATGCCCTTCTAGGGCATCTCATATGAAGAATAATTACATTTAAGAAACCATAGAAACATAGAATATGTACATCATCTACAGATTAATGGATAAAAAAATGTGATACACACACATGGAATACTCCTCAGCCTTAAAGAAGAATGAAATTATGGCATTTGTCGATAAATGAATGGAGCTGGAGAATATCATCATCCTAAGCGAAATAAGCCAGTCTCCAAAAAACAAAAATCAAATATCTCTGATATATGGATGCTAATTTTTCCAGAGCCATCCATGGGTTATGTGTGGACTACACCAGCATTGTAGCCTCTCATAGGAACACCTGGTATTTGGGAACTTCCCCTGGCAATCCCACAGGATAAGATTGCCCAAATATATGTGAATTTCTATTCAGCTCTGCCTGGTCCCACACAGCACCAGAGATGGGGTGACCTGCTGCAGCCACACAGCCTCTCAGAGATGGGTGTGACCTGCCAAGATGCCAATCAACCTGCTGACTCTAAGACATCAGGAAGCAAGACTCCACCCCTGAAACCTTATCCCTGCCTTTGATGTAGCCCCTTAAATAAATCACGGGAGCCATTTTCTAATTGTCCAGCTCCAGCTCCTGTATGGGTTGGATCTATCAGGTGCTCTGCTTCAAAACTCTCTTTGACTCTGTGTCTTTTGTTCTTCACTGATTCTGACTTATTTTCTCCAGTGGCTTATACCCTCTCCCTGGCAAGGTGCTGGCAGCCTCCTCATACTAATTCACAATGTTGGGGAGCCTAGGGAAGAATAGTTACTTTAAAGTAACTATTTAGAGTAGAGGGGAGTGAAGGGAGGGGAGAGGGTTAGGGTTAGGAAAGATAGGAGAATGAATCAGACATTATCATCCTGTATGCACATGTAACTGTACAACTGGTGGGACTGTACATCACGAACCACCAGAAGAATGAGAAATTACATTCCATTACATATAATGTGTCAAACTGCATTCTACTGTCATGTATAACTAATTAAAACAAATTTAAAAAATTGAAGCACACACACAAAACAAACAAACAAACAAATGCTAAGGGAAATTCTCAAGTTAGAATCCCAGAATTCTGTAACTCAGTTATAAGTTACCACAAAAAAATTACAATAAAATTAAAGTTATTTTCAAAGACTGAGAATTTACCACTCACAGACTGTAGATGAAATAACAAAGGAAAGAAGAAGGAAATGGAATTCTTAAAGTAGATGCAAGAAGCAGCTGCGGGCAAAGCAGAGAATAGAAAATGCCCAAGTGCATCTGGCATGTTATTTCATAAAGCTTGTGTCTTATTTTTACATATTTACATTATTTAAATTAAGAAAAGTTTTAAATGAGTACTTGTGGGCAAAAAAACTGACATGTTCAAAAACTCCTAAAGAAGCACTGACTAAATAGACAAGCGGGACCAAATGAGAGGGTTTAAAACCAATATAGATTTAAGTTATTTAAAAAACAGTATCAGAGTATATCAAGGGAACAAATCATGTTAAAGGCTCATAAGTCCTTATATTGCTTGGGAAGTAGATACATTTACCTTAATTTTTAACTCAGTATGAAACAATTACTAAAAGAATAGAAATCAAAAGTATAATTTCTGAACCAATGAGGGAGAAGAATGTGATAACTTAATCCAATAAAAGGCAAGAAAGGAAAGAAAACAATAAAGGAAAAAGGCTCTTTAACCCAGCACAGTGGTGCATGCCTATAGTCCCAGCTCCTTGGAAGACTGAGGTGGAAGGATCATTTGAGCTCAGGAGTTTGAGTACAGCCTGGACAACAGATGCAAGACTGTGGGGAGTGGGGGCATGCTAAACAGGAAGCACCAAGGATTTTAGAAGTAAGCACAAATATGGCAAAAAATACAATAAATGAACACTGATTATACTTGCCAATTAAAGAAACAAGATTGTCTAATTACTTAAAGGAATAAAATATAGTTATATGCTTGACACAACTACAACATAATTACATGCTTAAAAGTAAGGGGATGTCCAATTTATAGGMCATTCAATGGAGCAAAGAACATATTATTAGATGACACCACACAGGCTCAATTAGCAAAATCCAGATTCTGACAAATACTTCAAGACCTACATCCTCAGTTCTTCAATGAATACACTGCAAAGGGGAAAAAACAACAGAGAATGGGAACCTAGAAGGGAAAAGAGACTTACATAGAAGCTATCAGCCCTACTTGGAATCCCACTAGAACAAAGAAACTAGCTTTAAAAATAAAACAATTGGCAACATTTGAACCTTGATTAGGTTCATCTTAATGTGAAAATGTTGTTCTGAAGGAGTAAAACATTATCATGCCTATGCCTAAAAAGGGAACTTCATCTTTGAGAGATACATCTAAAATATTTATGGATAAAATAATGTGCTGTCTAGATTTTGCTTCAAAACAATCCAGGAAAAGGTGGGAAGAATGAGTGAGAGTTTGGGTAAGAATCAATTAGTTGTGAGTTGGTAACATTAAAAAGCTTAGTACTGGGCACATGAAAGTTAATCATACTATTCTATCTTCTATTGAAATATGCTAGAAATTTTTCATAATAGAATTTTTTGAAAGTACCAAAAAAGATGTACCAGAAAAAGAACACAAGTATGCTAAAGAATTAGACAAAATTAACTATACAAAGAGGATCATTAATGATAAAATAAACAAAATTCAACAAAACATATAACATTCCTGAACTATATTCACCTTAAGCCTCAAATATATAAAGCAAAGTTTATTGTGTGTGTGTGTGTGTGTGTGTGTGTGTGTGTGTGTGTTACCTGGCTTGAACCCAGGGGTGCTCTACTACTAAGCCATAGCCCTGCTCCCTTTTATTTCTGAGATACAATCTCTCTGTGTTGCCTATCCTGGTCTTGAACTTGCAATCTTCTTGCCTCAGTCTGCCAAGTTGCTGGAATTACAGTTGTATACCACCACATCTGGCTGAAATTTATCAAATTTAGCAAGAGCCATAAACAATTCCACAATGATTGTGGACAATTTCAAATGTATCTTGCTGAAAAATGAATGATCAGGACTGCGGTTGTAGTCAGCACCACATAAAAATAAATAAAATAAAGGCACTGTGTCCACCTACAAAACTAAAAATATATTTTTAAAAAGAATAAGACTAAAGAATGAAAGAATATTGGAAATGTGGACAATACAATTTAGAAACCTGAGTAATGATTTATACACTTACCTTACATCAACCAACAGACAATGTTTATTCTCTTCAAATAAATGTAGAATGTTTAGAAAAAATGACTATGTATACTAGGCCACAAAGGAAATTTTAACAGTATCTAAGAAGTCATACCATCATATATATCATCTAATCACAATACAAGGAAAATGGAAATCAATTACAAAAACACATCCCAGACCACTTAATATTTAGAAGCTAAAAACCCTTTCTATGATATGAGCTAGTTGTATGGACATCAAATGATATGCATGTCACCACTCTTATCTAGGTCCACGTGTGAATATGTTCAGCCATAAATGCACATATTGGGAAATAACAGAGTTAAGAAAAAAGAACAAACTAACCTCCCAAAATGGAAGAAAAATAAAGGTAAGAACAAAAATTAATGAAAAAGAAAATTAAGAAACAACAGAGAGAATCCACAAACCAAAGCCTGGTTTTTCAGAACAGACCACACTGCTGACAGGCTGAATGAGAAAGAGAAAGCACGTACATACTACTATAGAAAAAAACAAAAATGCAAAATGTAAAGTCATAATTACCCTAATTTTTCTTCCAATATTAAATGAAAACACTGAACACCTCACCACTGCTTAGCAAGACCTCAAATTCCAGTTCAGCTGATAACCACAAATAGCAACCTCAGCACCAACCTCTGCAGTCCTCTGCAGTGCAGCCAGCAGGTGAAATCCACAGAAATAAAGACCCAAGCCACATCATGGCCCCTTTCTGGTATAAAAGGGAAGGGAACTGGCCTCTTAGGGGGAGAAAAATTGGCACGTGGGCCTATGGCGTGTGATTACCCAGCCTGAGGTCAACAGACTCCGCAGTTAGGAGATATAGGTTAAAGCTTTTCAGGTATTTTTACTCATATTATAAGGGTTTAATCTGGTCATCTCATGCTAGTTGGGAACATGGGAGAATTGCAGACTCTGGGACAGGAGTCCCCTGTGTTTCTCCTTTGCTAGCAAAGCAATAACATTTCTTTTTCTTCTTTCTCAAACAAAACAAAACAAAAAAACACACACAAAAAAAATTCTTAAATAAACTAAGTTTGGAGCAGTCATTCTGTGACAAAATGTTTTTGGTAAAAAGATTGGAAACTATTCTACTTGGTGCTTAGTGAAAATATTTGAATTAGTGTATATACCAGAAGTTATCAATCAAATAAATAATTTTTCAATATTGTTTAAAATCAAGAAAGAAAAGAAAAAGAAAAAAATGACCTTGAAATGAAAGCTTATCACATTATTACAAAAATAATCCTGGGGAGTAGGGGAACAGCACAGTGGTAGAACGCGTGCTTAGCATGCAGGAAAACCTGGGTTCAACCTCCAGTTTCCCTCTACATCCTACTAACCAGAAAAATAATAAAAGTAATAATCCTACTCTAAAACTTAGGGGGCTGATTGGCTTCAGCTCACATATGAAAACTATTTCTAGTACTCATATTCCAAGAAGCCATGCTTATTTTTAAAGCCAGGCTTCAGTCACAGAGCACCCTACACACCTTCTTCAGAAATGCTGATGGCTTTTGAAGCTACTGGTTTTTTGTATTCAGGGCCAGAAGACGATTCAACATGATCCATCAATCCAACCTGTAGGAAAAAACATACAACAAAACAACTAAGTTTAATACTTTGATCATTTCAAAGTATTATACATAACTTTGGGTATGGTTTAAACATCTGCATTGATGGGATAAATGAAAAAAAGGGATTAAATCCAATATGAGCTACATGACAGAAATAACAAGGAAGAAACTATTTGTGGCTTAAGAGACTGAGAAAAATAGCTTCACATAATTTTAGAATGGGAGAAACTGTAACTACCACCTAGACAAAATCTTTCATTTTATAGACGAGGGAACAGACCCTGAGAGATTCAGCAATTTTTTTAGTGACAGAACATGATTTCTATCCAGGTCTTCAAAGCTCCTTGACTACAGTATCCCTCTGCCTCTTCTAGGTCTATGAGATATTTTCTTTAGGAAAGTCAAAGTGTTTGTATTTATGTACACATTCTAATAATAGGGCAATCACATTTTAAACACTATATCAGGTTTATCGTTTGAATTAATGTTATTTCCTTCAATGCAGTCATTCTGGAAGAATAATTTACTTTTGAACTTGAGCAAATATTTTTATAACTATTCCTGTGAAATTGTCTCTAAGCTTCTGCTACAATTATTAATATAACTGTTCTAGTGGCAAATCTTTGGTATATAAATGTGATTTCATCACAGAACCCAAAAACAGGTCAGCAAAGGCAAGCACAAAACACACATTTATCAAATGCGACAGACAGCAAAAATCAGTTTTTACCTTCMAACCCTGAAATGCTTGGACTGGAGGAAGCTGTATCCGAATTTCTCGAAACTCTCTGCCTCCCTCAAAGTCAGGAGAGCCAGCAAGTATGTTCTGAAAAGACGGTCAGGGTGATCCTGACACTCAGCTGTTCAGCAGCCTACCACAACCAGCCCTGGGGCAGCTCTGCCCCACATGGCCCCTTTGGCTGGCCGTTTCCTGAGGCTTTCACTAGGTGTGGAACAGCCTGCTGTCAGAGCCTCACTCTGACAAGGCAATGAGCCCACAGGACTCTGCTTCACCTTTTACTCACTCCATGTGCTCTCTCCATCATGATTGGAATGTTGCCCTGATGATTCCAAAACCCCTATTTAGATCCTCAGCTTCAAAAGCATATGTCCAGCTAACTAATCTCATGGCACCTCAAATTTAATATGTCCCCAAGAGAAATCATGGCACCTCCTCCCCCAGCACGGGCTCCTGTACTTCCCCTTCCTTAGTTTAGAAAATGCCTCCTCCATTCTCCTGGGCTGTAATGTGGGTACCACTGTGGTCTTCTGGTACTTCTGGTACTTCTGGTCTTCGCTGGTCTTCTCTGACTTCCTACAGTCTGTCAGGCTCTTCAGTCCTGTTCTATCCTGCCCTCTATTCCTACTGCTATAGTTGAGGCATTTTTGAACATTAATTTTTGCTATGGGTATTCAATGGATCGCAAACACCCATCAGTGGACCTCATATAGAACTAGAGCATAAGAATCATCTATGAAGTTTTTTTTTGTTCAATCTTTTTTTTAATTGTTGGTTGTTCAAAACATTACATATTTCTTGATATATCATATTTCACACTTTGATTCAAGTGGGTTATGAACTCCCATTTTTACCCCTTATACAGATTGCAGAATCACATCAGTTACACTTCCATTGATTTACATATTGCCATACTAG